AGCATGTAATAATGAGGAGCATATATACATGGTATGTTGTGACAAGCAGCAGATTAGCATTAACAACAGCATGTAATAATGAGGAGCATATATACATGGTATGTTGTGGCAAGCAACAGATTAGCATTAACAACAGCATGTAATAGTGTGGAGCATATATACATGGTATGTTGTGGCAAGCAGCAGATTAGCATTAACAACAGCATGTAATAGTGTGGAGCATATATATATGGTATGTTGTGACAAGCAGCAGATTAGCATTAACAACAGCATGTAATAGTGTGGAGCATATATACATGGTATGTTGTGACAAGCAGCAGATTAGCATTAACAACAGCATGTAATAGTGAGGAGCATATATACATGGTATGTTGTGACAAGCAGCAGATTAGCATTAACAACAGCATGTAATAGTGAGGAGCATATATACATGGTATGTTGTGACAAGCAGCAGATTAGCATTAACAACAGCATGTAATAGTGAGGAGCATATATACATGGTATGTTGTGACAAGCAGCAGATTAGCATTAACAACAGCATGTAATAGTGAGGAGCATATATACATGGTATGTTGTGACAAGCAGCAGATTAGCATTAACAACAGCATGTAATAGTGAGGAGCATATATACATGGTATGTTGTGACGAGCAGCAGATTAGCATTAACAACAGCATGTAATAGAAATAATAAGTGGTACATAATTAAAGAGGGCAGTAGGGAACTAAAAACAACAAATATCACTAGTGATGAAGCCAATAAACAGGGGGATTGAGTAGTAATAACAAATAGACAGGGTGCTATTGATGGTCTATAGCTTGATTAGTTCTTCATAGGCTGATGGGATGTAGTATCCTCGGCCACGATTGATCAAAGGTTGGCCATTTGGTTGTACTCACGTTTAGCTAGATAACGATGTAAGAATCTACATCGAAACGTCGCTCAACGCAAATAAACCAGAAGTTGTCATCCATAAAGTTGTATGGTTCATTTGTTGACTCACCAACTTCTAGAAAGCCGATCAAACAATGAAAACCAAACTGATACAAAATGCGTTTAACGGATGTAACGCAAGTATTTCTACCAGCTTCAACCAATAACATAAGCAATTGAAATCACTGATACGGCAACCTGTGTATTTAACAGAAGCAATCTACACCAATATTTAACACATCTAGACATATACTGATATTGCAATGGACCTCTGCCACATTCGCCTAGCGCTATAACATGGCTGGTATATTTACGAACTTCAAAACATTTTTACCAGAAGTATATTTGCAAACTTTCTATCTGTCTACTGTATGAAGTGCCCCAAATCCCTTACCCATAAGAAAGGATAGGACAATTAGCTCCATCAAAAATTTGAAATATATCTAGACACGAAATTGATCCAAATTTATTTTGATAATTATATACTGAACCACAAAAGAAATGTCGCACCGATAGCGGTTTCTAAAGGCACACGCTTTAATTCACATTAATTAACAATCAAAACGGAGGATTGAGTTCAAACTTGACAATTATGGTTAACATAAAATCACCAAAATCGTACCATTAAGATACCCCAAAGTCAGTATTGTTCGTGGCGTCATGGGCATCGGCGAAAGCGTTGCATCGTCTGTACATGAAATGAATAAACCGGTTGATGAAGGCGAAATACTATGCGAAATGCATGATGGAGTCCTGTCGCAGTTGTCGGCCTTGGTTGGAGGTCATTCAGGGTTTTTTTTTTGTTTTTTAAATCTTGTCCCAAAGGTGTTCTATTGGGCTTAAATCAGGACTGAGTGCAGGCTATTGTAGGGTTTGGATGCCCAGTTGTCTTAGGAAGTCCAATGTTGCTCTGGCAATGTGGGCACGTGCGTTGTCTTGCTGGAAGATGTGATTTCTGTAACGTCCAAAATGTGGTACAATGTGGGGTCTTAGGACTTGGTCAAAATAGCGAGCAGCTGTCACGTGACTTCCTCATCCTGGGCCATGATTCTGGAACACCACGGTTTCAACTAACTGGTCCAGACCGATTGCACCCAACACCATGATGCTTCGAGTGAGTGAGTGAGTGAGTTCATATTTATCGTCACATCGGCAATATTTCAGCCATATCGTGACGAGAACCGTTTATAATTATATTAAAGATCAATAAAGTTAGAAATTAAAAACCTGTTGACGAAGAACAGTAAAACTACTAGTGTATCACAGATATCCATTTAAAACTAGTAATTAAATCTAAAATATTGGAGTGAGTGAGTGACAATACAATATAAAAACAGGCTATAGATTGCCAACGACTGAAGGTAGATCACCATACTAGGGCCCATGGGGACTTACAGTACATTTGCTTCCTGCATGGACCCTAGCTGGATTTACACAATCCCTTCAACCGTTAGCAACGTAGACAAATCTAGCCATACATTTAAAAACACACATATTCTACGATTAAAAATAGTGGAGAGTTTCAATTTACTTTGAATGTTTGTGGACTTACGTATCCTCTCAGCAGGACAATATTTTAACAGTACATTGTGTACTTTAACCCCCCTTGAGGACATGATACTTGGACCACCCCACAAGTCTCTTTCTTTTTGGAAAACATTTCCCTGCGCCTCCACCATACTCTCACACCGTCATCGACTGTCGAAACACAATATCGGCTTTCATGAGATAAAAGCACAGTTCTCCATTATTGATAACGCCAATTTCGATACTGAGTTGCCCATTTTGGTCGGTTTGGGCGATGAGGACAGGAGTACGATATGCTCTGTGACAGCAGAGGTTTCTTCCGCGTAAACATCGACGCACTGTATCGGCGCTGATGGGTCTGTTGTGAGTCCAAATGGTCTGGCGTGCTGTTTTTCCTTCGCTCTTGGAAAGCGATCATGCAGATAGTTGCGCACAATCTGTCGGTCTTGACGCTGGGATGTTACTGAAGGTCGCCCACTGCGTGGACGGTGTTGGATGCTGTTAGTGACCTGATACCACTCCTGCAGTCAGTAGATTGTCCTAACATGAACAATAAAAGGACTGTGCAGTCTGGACAACTTGCAATCGTCCCCAGACTTGGTTCCTCTGATCTCTCGTAAGTCGTGGCATGGTGATTGTGTCGAAACAAAAATAATTTCAAGCGAGTTTGAGACTCGCTTTCACTGGTAGGGTGTCACGCCATGCACGTGCATTTTTATTTTCACGAATGTCATACGGTCCTTTTACTATGTTTGCCTTTTTCGGTGCGCTTGGTCGAGATGCCTGTTTCATCAGAAACACAGATGTTGGTAATAACTGTCAATTTGGATTGAAAAACATGTTAACAAAACGGTAAAATCATAACAAAAATACCTCCTTGTAAGAACACAATTTTGCATTTGATTTTGAAAGGCGACGTTTCTTTTGTGGTTCAGTATACAATGACAAACAAGCTGTTTGTGCTTGAGCGGAAAGACAACAATAAGCCTTAGTCCATGAGAGATGATGTAAACACAACACCTAAGTATCTATATACATTTACTACCTCTATTTTCTCGCCCTTAAAAAAACACTCCTCATAGTGGCAAAGAGGACCACCTTTGCGAAAAACCATAATTTTTGTTTTACTCCAGTTTATACTCATGCCTATATCATTACAATATTGCTCAAGCACATTTATCTTCCTGAGCGTAGTTATTAATAGTGCAATGTCAAATTACACTTGCAAATGAACTAACGACTCTAGGAAATACCTTTCACGTCTATTACAAATCAGATATTGTCATTTCCGTACCCATAGTCACTATTGCCATGACGATCCGGGTCAGGACTGTTTTAGGAGGCGACTAGTGGGATTGGGTGTCAGACTTGATGACCTGGTTAATGCAAGTAATCGTATCCCAAATAAATAGATCGATGTTACGCTTTTAATAAATCAATTGACGGGTCCAGACTCCATTATTTACAGATCACCGCATATAGCTAGAATATACTGCGGAATATTAAACAATAAACAAAATAAGAAGTGTTTACCAGTTGTTTGAACTTGCCTGTGGCCTTGCTGTCACACCAATCATCTCTAAAATATATAAATGCATTTCTCTCAATAATACTAACTATCAGCCCTCGGGGAAGCTACCATATAATTTATTCCACACAAGAAAAAAATACGTATTTAAAATTACAATATTAATTTCGAATGAACTAATGCAACGTTGCATTACATCGGCTCTTACGCCCTCGTCATGCCGAATGAATGCGTATGTGCAAGCATACGAGTTCCTTTGTTATGCCATCGCGTTGTTGAGATGAGAGACAATCTTGTTTTCTCACATTTTAAAAGTAATTGTCAAATACATTGTTGTCGAACTTTTAGCAGAGTACAATAAAATGATTTAACACATACCAAAATTACTGCCTGTGAAATCTGCTTCGGCGGTGAGTGAGTTTAGTTTTACGCCGCTTTTTGCAATATTCCAGCAATATCACGGCGGGGGACACCAGATATGGGCTAAAAGGATCACCATGTGTGGAATCGATCGTGACGAGCCGACGTTTTGACCACAACGTTATCCCCTACAGCATTGATCAGTATCTTCTTTGAATTCCAAGCCAATTTTATATTTTTCAGCACACACACGAGGGTACTCGCACACGGACGCACATGTCCTCGCACAATTACATACATATACTTACATGTATATTTAATCATATATATAGATATATATATATATAGGCACACATTGTCTGTCTGTCTCTCTCTCTCTCGCTCTCTCTCTCTCGCTCTCTCTCTCTCTTGAAAAATAGAAACAATTAATTGAAATAAATTCTGTTAAAATACTTTATGCTGCAAACGTTTGTTTATTGTCTTACGGTAAATTGAGAGTGCTTTTTGAAACAGTCAAAATGACACTGTGATTCAGTTAAGTCATGTGCAATTGGTGTACAGTGATAATGATCTGATGATAATAATTGCGTGCTTTAATAATCAACATACAAGAGCTGTTCTAATAATAGTAACCACATTTGCAGAACAATGGCAATGCGGGGTTTTGAGCTGCTGTTGGTTGCACACCTTGTGTACATCCAAGGTAAGATGGTCGTCAACAATATTATCACTACTGTAATACTCTTAGGAGTTGTAATGAAACAAGGAAACTTGACTGCTATTTATAATTCCTTTAATTCAAACCTAAGTATAGTGAACGTCGGTTAGAGATTACCTTCAGTAACTTCATCACAAATACTAGACTAAGTACAACATATCAAATTCTGCCAAGCACCTGATGAATCCTTCCACCATGGTATTGTGCAAATACTTTTCAATCCGTTGGGTGAACTTAACCATGGCAGACTTTATTTTGATGTTTCCAGCGGGGACAGCTGCTACAAGGCTTTCTGGTTGGCTTTAGCAATATAACGTTGCCTTTTCGGAGCTAATTTGTTTAATTGTCAAATACAGTTTTGATCACATTTGGAACCTCCTGGTTCCTTCAGCTACAAAGCACATTTGGAATTCAAAAACATGCCATGGGTATCTTTGCTATCTGGTTTATTGCTATTGACTTTATGAGTGTAAATCAGAAACTGTGTGCCTACATAATTTACTGTTTTCCACAATATTGTTGTGGCACAAACTCATATTCACTCATTCACTGATGTTTGTTTCTTGTGTAGTTCCTTCGGGCTCGACATTCTCTACTAGCTCAGCTACTTATACTACTCAGCTGCCGTCGCCTACTCCAGTCCCAACGACTCCAGTCCCAACAACTCCGGTCCCAACGACTCCAGTCCCAACGACTCCGGTCCCAACGACTCCAGTCCCAACCACACCACCACCTACCAATGCTTCGGTTCAATTTTGTGGCTTAGATGACCCATGTCATCCCGGGGGCTATTGTCTCAATACAACCGGCAATGCAATCGGCTACAAGTGCAACTGTTCCCTTGGTTACAAAGGAGATAACTGCGCTATAGGTATGTAAACATGTGTCATTGCTATTGTACAGATTCATGGTGACACTATAGCTCATTTTCACCTCGAAGGCCCAACTGGAAACAATTATGTACATATAGAAAGAGATGACATAAATCAGACAGTGAATGACGAGCAGAAAGAAAGAATAACAAGGAGACATTTGAGATTTAGTTTTAGAGCGCTGCTCAAGCATACTTGAGTCACTGAATCATATTTTGTCCAGTCGGTTTTACTGAACAGTTACCTTAAAGACACTATTTCACAACGTACTTCTCTAAAAATAAATAATGCATGGAAGCTACCATATAATTTATTCCAAAAATATTTACGTATTTAGATTACAATATTAAATTAAAAAGTTCGAATGACTCTCGCGCCCTCTACCGGTCGAACATGATTTGAAGCGAACACTATAGAGTTATGCCCCTTCGAGCGCCTTTTGGAGACAGAACTAGACAAAATGACGTTAATGTCTGGCGCAAAAACATACGATCAACTTGTGATTTATTGAAACCAGTTATTGGCAGTTTTCGAAGTACGGACCAATTGTTTGCATTCCATATATGACAAATGTTTTCTCTTTGGAAGCTGTTCCCACGAAGTTTCAATTATCAATTTCAGGCCAGTCGTAATGGACAATAAGTTTTCTATTGCATCAATAGGAAGCTAAAGCGAAAGGATATGCCCCAATATATATGATATAGACCAAATTAATGTCGAAAATGTGTGATATTGTGCCTTTAAATGCTTCTATGTTTCAGAATACGACCCATGCCGTGTCAATCCTTGTCAGAACGGTGCCTCGTGCCGGTACAATCGTACTGAAGTAAGCACGTGGTGTATTTGCCCCATAGGATTCACAGGTGTCTATTGTGGTAAGTCTGGGTGTACAAACGACCGTATTTGGCCACATGTGAGTTTGAGGTTTTCGTTGGGATTCGGGTTCCTTTTCAGGGCCTCAGTAGCCTTTGCATGACCCAAGTGGCGACTCAGTAGATCGGATGTTTGGTGGTCACAGTGACATGGTTGTTTCCTGGATCGTATTGTTGGTGGGTAAAACTCAACTCACTCACTCATTCATTGTCATGACATAGAAATAAAACAATGTTACTCTATAATGAGATCACGATCGCTTCCTTATGTCAGATTGAGCTGTGAGTGAGTATAGTTTTACACCGCTTTTAGCAATAGTCCAGCAATGACACGGCGCGGAACGCCAGAAAGAGTTTCAACTTGGTACCTATATGTGGAATCGAACCCTGGTCTTCGGCATGACGAGCGAACGCTTTAACCACTAGACTTCCCGCCGACCATAAAAGAACTTTCTTTATCTATAAAGCATTAAGTAATATGTAACTTCTGATGGACCCCGTAGGTACACACAGTCAAAACAGCCTTTGGAATTTGTAAGCAATTGAGTGAGTTAAAGTTTAGAGTCACCGCGGCAGTATTTCAGCCATATCGTGACTAAAAATGATTATGAATACACACATTTTAAAAACCTGCAGACGAAGGACAATAAAACCAACTAGTTTATCACAGTATCAAGAATTACAACTAGCATTTGTCTCTAAAATGTGATTTCAAATTTGGACAATACAATATAAAAAAGGGCTGAGTATCACAAACAAATGAAGGTAGATCACCATACTAGGGACCATGGAGACTTATAGTACTTTTGCTACCTGCATGGGCCCTAGCTGTATTTACACCATCCCTTAAGCCGTTGGTGATGGTAGTTAAAGTTAGCCAAACTGTATAATCTCAAAAATACTACGTTTTAAAATAGTCGGTCAGCTTAATTTACCTCGAATGTTTTGGGACTTATGTACCCCCGCAGGAGGACATTAATTTTACAATATTTCAACCCCTGTGATGATACAGCCACACAATTTCAGCTGCTCAATTAAACTACCAAGTATAAAATATTTATCTATTCACAAACCATTTATAAAAAATATGCAACAATTCTATTTCTTTTAGAAAGGAAAGAATGAAATGGTAACTGACGCTTAAAAGATTGTTCACTGTTTTGACATTGAAATATTTAGCGCTGGTTTTGGTTTATGCAATTGATTTCCATTACGGATTAGTATTTTTGGGATTTTAGATTCTGCAATTGTTCAGCCCGAGTGCCCGAAACCTACGCCGTGCATGAATGGAGGCATCTGTAAAGAAACTGCGGACGCCTACACGTGTGGATGTCCATCAGGAACCACCGGAACCTTCTGCGAGACCGGTACATGTTTAACTGTCTTCCTGCTCCTTCTTATGGTGATAAATGTCATGACTACGTAACAACCGTGGAGTCAACGTTGTTTGCAGACTCTTTCAGTGTTGTAACAACCCCTAGTGTACAGAACATAACACTGTGCACTTAGAAGAACCCACGAATCCGTTGGTAAATGACCAAATTGTGGTCACATGCATACCTGCAAACACGTAGTTGCAGGTACAGTAACGTCCGGTAAAACTTGGACAAAGTAATGTGACTATGTGTGCCAGTCCATACAGCTGTGAATGGGTACCTCGTAAGGATGGGAACGTCCCACTAACTCAGAGCGCCTGGTGGCTGCAAGAGTTGTATGATCCCTGGGGAGTTGAGATTGATAATACGATGTGCCGTTGAGATTGACATCCAATGATCGGGGGAAAAACAAAGCGCCTGTGAGCAGCCTAGCTGGAACTCGGCGTTATATATAAATAGATTTCCGGTTTAGGAATGGACCCCAATAACACAACCACAGCTATCTTTGCGATGTGGATTGTTACAATATCACCTGTGAAGATCTGATCTTCAGCTTTCTCTGCGATGTGGATTGTTACAATATCACCTGTGAAGATCTGATCTTCAGCTATCTCTGCGATGTGGATTGTTACAATATCTCCTGTGAAGATCTGATCTTCAGCTATCTTTGCGATGTGGATTGTTACTCACAATATCACCTGTGAAGATCTGATCTTCAGCTATCTCTGCGATGGGGATTGTTTCTCATAATATCACCTGTGAAGATCTGATCTTCAGCTATCTCTGCGATGTGGATTGTTTCTCACAATATCACATGTGAAGATCTGATCTTCAGCTATCTCTGCGATGTGGATTGATACTCACAATATCACCTGTGAAGATCTGATTTTCAGCTATCCAATCCAGGCCCGCTGGTCGACTCATGAAATCATATCCTAATGCTCATGATATCAATCACTGGACTGCCCAGAAACAGATTCCAATAAGTGTGAAGGACCAAATAGTTTATTGATTTGGTTGGTTTGTTGTTTAACGCCGCACTCAGCAATGTCCCAGCTTTATGGCGCGGGTCTGAAAGTAATCGAGTCTGGACCAGACAATCCAGTGACCAACAGCATGCGCATCGATCTACACAACTGGGATACGATGACATGTGTCCAAATAGTTTATAAAATGTTATGAGAGGACCACTATAAAGCGGCGATGACACCATGTGATCCCGGGAAGGGAAAACAAGTCCTAACCGACCGGTTACACCAAACATTAACATAATTTACCTAAACGAGTAAATGTTTACAGCCATGACTCCGCACAAAAGCAAACCTGTCAAGGAGCGGAGGTCTGTGAACGAACCAGACAATCAAGTGATCGATCAACCAGAATCCCGTTGTGAATTTTGAATTACGATTGCAATGATCAGAGATTCCGTAGTTTTTTAAGAAAGAAAAAAGTGCTTTATTGCACAACCCATTTGTGTCAGTCTTAAAATTTCGGACAAAACATTTCTTTTCTAGTTGTCTCAGTATAGACACTGAGGTTATAAAACTAGCAGAAACATCAGCCCAGCTGTAATAAATATAAAACGCTTGTGCAAAAGAACCCAAACTAGTATTTGGTTTAGGTAAGCTCTTCTTTGGAATCCATCAGTTTTATGTATACCACTGATTCATCACTCAATTATTTTTCCAGCATGCAATCGAAGTAAGACAGACCTTCTCCTCATAGAAGACGCCTCTCCATCCGTCACGAAAACCCAAGACTACGCTGCAATGAAGGAATTTGAAACTAAACTGATCAGTGATACGCGAATAGATCTGTCAGCTGTCCATGTTGCTGAGGTGGTATTTGGAGAAGAAGCCAAGTTGGGATTCTATCTCAACACCTTCCAAAACAAGTCATCCCTCCGAGCAGCCATTGCTAACTCTAGCAAAGAAGGAGGACCCACACATCTTGCTAAACCTATCTTGCTGGCCGACCTCAATGTGTTTAGCGGGAAACATGGTGACCGCACTGACGCCACAAATGTTGTCGTCATGTTCACTGACGGAAGGAGCAGAGACGCAGGGAGCTTGTTCATAGCTGCTACTCTTCTCAGGAGGAAGGCACTTGTTTTTGTTGTAGCTTTGACGAACGAGCAGGACCTAGCCAACCTCAAAACCATAGGATCAGGAGCCGGTTTCTTCACTGATAAGCAGAAAGCTTTGAAGACCATCAGCGACACTCTTGCTGCGTACAACTGTTAAGTGGCTGCTGAAATGAGACGAGTGTCATGGAAATAAAAAAAGCATTGACTCCACCTTTCAGTGTTAACTTTTTTCTAAGCCTTAAGTCTTCTCCCGGCAAAGAGCTCAACTATGTGACTGAGGTTGTATCTAAACAATCATTTTCTGTCTTGCTGGAAAGGACGACACAAATCAGTTGTGTAAAATGCCCACTCGCGAAGGTCCGGGTTAGAACTGGTCTTCAGCAACCCATGCTTGTAACAGGCAACTAATGAGATCGGGTGGTAATGCTCGCTGACTTGGTTGATACATGTTATCATATCCCAAATGCGTAGATTTATGATCATGATGTTGATCATTGGATTGTCTGGTCCAGACTTTATTATTCATAGACTGCCGCTTTATAGCTGGAATATTGCAGAGGAGCTTTAAACAACAAAGAATAGTAAAATGTCGTCGGTGGAGGAATAAGTGGATTATTGCCAAAGGTGGTGTAAACCTCGGTCACTCACTCTCACCCATGCACTCACTCACTCACTCTCACCCATGCACCCACTCACTCACTCACTCACTCACTCACTCACTATTACTTGTGTAAAATGGTCAACTTTTGCTCCGATCATTGGATTATGATAGGGGCACATGTTGGATATTGCTAAAAAACAACAAAGAAGTACAAAACAAAAAACGGTACATTAACACCCTTGCATGTTAAGTAAAGACACCTGCACGTCTAATAGCCTCGTCTGAGCAAGAGTGTAATGACGCTCTTTGAATTCGTCGTGGAAGGAGCATACTCGATTGTACCTCAAACGTTGTGGCATGTGGCAGAACACAACACAGCTTGTATTACGCTCGGGCCGGGATACTCGGTACAAATATACACTTGAGACTACATGGGATGGAGGGATGGTTTACAAGGAAAATTGTACAATTTACATGATGGTATTACAATATATATATATATATATATAAAACACTATATATATTAAACACTATATATATATATATGTTTGAAGAAAGGGCAGAGAGAAATGTAATGAAATTCATCGCCAACATCACACGAGGTTACACAATCATTCTTGGGGTGGAATTTTGTGCCACCTACCCGTCCTACTTCTATAGGTGAACGGTGGCAGGAAGTTCTAAACAAGAGGAATTTAAAAGTCAATGAGAAAGGGATATATGTGAAATATTTTTGAAGGACAAGTTCAGTTTTGAATACGCGAGAAGTGGTGCCCCTAGAAGTTGGCGAGTGATCAAACTGGGATACGACGTGTGAACCACGTCAGCAAGCCTGACCACCTGGGTTGCTGAAGACCAATTCTAACCCGGATATTCACGGATATTGAATACATGTAATACGCAAAGCCAATGACTCGATATGGACCGTTCTTTCACGTAAACAACAAAACTGAATTCTACAATCGTGTGTATCACAAGGTATCAGTATAGGAAGAGGTATCTGTTATAGGAAGAGTAACGTGTGACCTGGTCGTATAAACCACCCTCATTCACCATACAGGGGCGCGCCAGAAACATGTAATAGAGGTTCGATTCTCGGTTCGCCCAGGTCTTTTGGTTTGTCAATACCATCCTTGTGTTCTTGCGTTTCACCAAAGTGATATGCGTCTGAGACCTGCATTACTTCGGGTTTTCCTCCCCCATGAAGCAGACACACCGTGATAGAGAGAGAGAGTCTTTATTTCCTCCAGACGATCATCCGAAGATCAAACATATTATATACATGTAGATACAAGAAAGGGGGCAAAGTTACAAAATTGATATAGATGTATATACAATTATATTAATCAAGATGAATACCTAAAGCTACAATTAACATAAGAACATACATGCATATGTGTATACAATTAATTTATACAAGAAACTTCCGAAAGTGGACATACATCATTATAAATCTGCAGAGATCAATCAGTGTAACATTGTAGGAGATGTCTTATTCGGTAAATGTATAAAGAAAATCGTAAAATGATTGTTTCCCATGTCCCTTGATCAACATTATCATTAAAAACAGTTTCACCTCCAAATAGAAAAGAGAGCATATCGAGTTCATCCTGTGATTCAAAGGCAACATAGGTTTCCACATCAAGATTGTCAATTATAAACACAAAAAATTCGTTTCTCTCAGTGTGAAGTTGTTCACAGTGTAGGAGTATATGAAAATCATAATCATAACTATATTTGTTGCATAGGTCACATTCTTTACATATTTTGCCACGTGATGAGATTTTAATACATATTTGGAGGGCAGATTTATAATTGGGATGCAAGTATGCCAATTGCCAGAGGATATGATAGTTTAACTTGGAATGGACCCGTGCATAAAGCGTCATGTTTGTATTAATTGAGGTTTGCATAACCCATCTGTGTTCTTCATAGCTATGTACAGATGTATTTACAATTTTTCGCCATTCGTACTTTGGAGGGAATACACCTTCTTTAATATATTTATCTATGTGTACATGTAAATTATGTTTGTAGAGTACTGATAGTAGATCATCATAGATTGAAGGGGATTTTGTAGATGTGGTTATTGCTGCACAAAATATGTTTTTGGCAAAATTATTACAAGAGATTTTGCATAGACGTCCAAGAAAAATGAGTTGACATTTGTCGATGTAACCAATGAGTGTCCACAATCCCAAATTTGCAATAGTAGAGTCTGTTGGTGATCTTTTATCAAGCCCCTGCACAATACGAGCAAAATATCGTTGTGTAAGTTCAAGTGCATCGGCTTGTTGGCCTCTAATATTAGGTAATATTTCACAGCCATAGAGACTTGTTGTAAGTATATATCTCAGCCAGATTTTGACGCATGTGAATGGGTGGAGTTGAGAGTGATGAAATCCCGCAGATCTTAGGGAATTTATGTTTTGTCTTGCTTTTTGACAATACCTAACGATTCTTGTTTTTGTTGAGAGATTATCAGTTAGGAGAACACCTCCATAAGTAGTTGATTCAGACTGGGGGATAGGCGTATCACCAAGGCGGTACTGGAAGTTAGAATAAGTGGATTTTCTTTTGCTGAAGACAACTATAGTCTAACGTAGTCTAACACAATAGGCAAGACGTAGTCTAACACAATAGGCAAGACGTAGTCTAACACAATAGGCATGACGTAATCTAACACAATAGGCAAGACTAAGTGTAAAACAATAGGGAAGATGTAGTCTAACACAATAGGCAAGACGTTATCTAACACAATAGACATGACGATATCTAACACAATAGGCATGACGTATTCTAACACAATAGGCATGACGTAATCTAACACAATAGGCAAGACTAAGTGTAAAACAATAGGGAAGATGTAGTCTAACACAATAGGCAAGACGTTATCTAACACAATAGGCAAGATGTAGTCTAACACAATAGGCATGACGTAGTCTAACACAATAGGCATGACGTAATCTAACACAATAGGCAAGACTAAGTGTAAAACAATAGGGAAGATGTAGTCTACCACAATAGGCAAGACGTTATCTAACACAATAGGCAAGATGTAGTCTAACACAATAGGCAAGACGTTATCTAACACAATAGGCAAGATGTAGTCTAACACAATAGGCAAGACGTTCTCTCTCTCTCTCTCTCTCTCTCTCTCTCTCTCTCTCTGTTACGATACTTTATGCTTCAAACATTTTGTTTATTGTCTTACGAGAAATTGAGAAATTGAAGGTTTATTTCTATCCTTTTGGTTTCATAAAAGAAAGAAGCTTGGCTGTCCGGATTGTCAGTAGGATTATGTGAAATATTAAGGACGTATGCTTGGTGAATCGCCAATGCCCCAAGGCATTATTGGCACACAACACACAACGTGTATTCATTGCAGGATAATGATCACTATTGACCAAACAACAATGTTCCATACATATTCCGGAAAATTAAAATGTTTTGTAAAGTGGCTGGCATCGAAAACATCAATAGTTTGGAAAAGACCGTAAATGTTGAAACAAATATTTAGCATATTATGTCAGCAGAGACAATGATACATATTCAAAAGAGATTCTTTAATACTTGATAATATTTGTTATTATACATCCAAATCTACAGCTAACACTTTACGACTGGTCTCCTGTCTGTATATACGATCAATATGCATCAATTGCAAGTGAATCCACAGCATTTGATTTTTTTACCAAATGATTATTTTTACACATATGCTTATGTACACCTAAACCAAATTGGCCACACTGCTGTTTCCTGATTGGCTGATATCAGAGTGGGCGGGGCTTGTGTTGCATAATGTGATATCACTGATTTTGTACTGTTATCTACAGTTTGTTATGTTTTTCGTGTTAACGATAAAAAAACTGACTGTCAAGTCATAAACGTAACGCACACATGTGCACACCGTGCCCTCATGGTGGTCATTTGTTACAAAGTCAACCTAAAGGCATTAAAAAGTGTGTTTACAGACAGAGACTGCAAGGGAAAGGCGGCGTCGGCTGGTCAGTGCCCGTCCCTCCTTTTACCTGGCTTGCCTTTCTGCTGGTCTGCCCGTGCTCTCCCCGCTGTCTGGCGGCGTCTCCCACGTGTTTGCCTGTCCTGTCTAATCCTACCGGGCAGATGAACGACTGTCTACTTAGGTCGCTAATTCTCACGGGCATAATCTGCTTAAACTGGTCATAGTCTGAGTGAGTGAGTGAGCATGGTTTTACGCCGCTTTTAGCAATATCACGGCGGGGGACACCAGAAATGGGCTTCACACATTTTACCCATGTGGGGAATCGAACCCGGGTCTTCGGCGTGACGAGCAAACGCTTTAACCACTAGGCTACCCCACCGCCCCTGTCATATTCTGACAAGCTTGACATATAGTGACAAATAGTGTTACAATATGTTTAAATTTACACGAACTAAATGTGGCAGGAGCTCTCTATAAGAATTACAGGACAATAATGTGCATTACTTTTCTGGACTGTCCTAGGCTAGAAGACTGACTCAAGTTGCTATAAGTGCATACTACTTTCCTATTTTTCTTCTCAAGTGCAAGCATTAGTTCAAGCCGATGCAAAAGCTCTTTCACATTCCATACAGTAGATACGGTAATACAAAATGGCTGTTATAGCTTTTTCGCTGACAACACCATTGATGTTAAATAATAGATTCTAGATCCTGACTACGGATGCACATGACCAATAGCACCGGCGTAACAAGGGTTTCCTTGAAAATAATTGGAGAGATCCTTTGTCAAGTCGGAAACGTGAACATCAATCGTTTTCATAGCTTTGTTGTTTTGTTTCCTTACCATCTGAAACAGAAAAATCGTTATCCACAACAGTCGCACTGATCATGGTTTCTTAGAAATTAATCAAAATAGTTGAAACATCTTAGTTTGTAATGCAGCATTATTTACCATTCACGTTGCCAAAGCGGAAACACGTTTTAAAGTGGCGCTGAACTGTCCATCTTTCCTGGAGACCCAGGTTGGTAGAGTTTCAATGAAAGTTGATTAACATGTCTTATATTACATTATACATATCTTTACATATTTATTATATAGTCATTGTCTTATATAGTCATTGTCTTATATAGTCATTGTCTTGAGACTGGTCCCTAATTTGGTGATCTACCTTCAGTTGTTGGCGATCTATAGCCAGTTTATATATTGTATTGTCGAAATAGTGCTATTAGTTTTAATTTTCCACACTAGTTTTAGTTGTAATTGTGATATTCTAGTTGTTTTACTGTCCTTCGTAGACAGGTTTTTATCATATACATATATTCCATTTCAATGTCAAATATGTTCTCGTCACGAAATGGCTGGGATATTGCCGATGTGACGTTAAATATTAACTCACTCACTCACTCTTCAGACTGGGGACAATTTATGGTCAACCCATGTGCTAAATGTGTATTAAAAATTTATATTGTAAATTTGTTATATCTCTATAGGTCAAGAAACCGTAAATATGTATTTTGCGATTGGCAACGACAGCGGAATATCGAAATCCTTGTCTTGAATATTGAAATACCAGCAAAAATATGAAGCGTATTCTTGACTAGGTACGCGCGGTCGCTACATTGGAGTCATTTGCCAATTATCACACACATGTCAGTTTCAATCGTTCCCCGGATGGGACTCAACCCCAAAAGTACTAGAATCTGTACTTTACTAAGAAAGGGTAATCCCAAATATAGCATATGTTACATTTCATCATATCCAAAATGGCATTTGGTATTCATAGTTTTGCGACAACTGGTTGTACTCGTGTAATAGCGACAGAAGGTGGACTGGTGGTCTTTTCGGCTGTGTAGATTTGATTGTCTATTGCTGCTTCGTATTTAACCCCCAAAAGAACCATTGGTTAATGTTAACCTACACCTACCAGATAATCCAGTGATCAACATCATGAGCATCGATCTACACAAGTGGGATACGAAGATATGTAGTCTACCATGTCAGCAAGCCTGACCACCCGATCCCGTTAAATCGCCTCTTACGACAAGCATGGGTTGCTGAAGATAATTCTAACCCGGATCTTTACGGATTCAATATCATGTATGGGCCTTTTATGCATCGTCTGTAGTCCAGTTGAAGTTTCAAAATTTGGTTCTGTGCAAGCCGATTTGCTTGTAAACCTCTACATATAAATTTTGAAATTATCTATTCATATTGATTTGATTTGAACAAATTCAATTTTGAGGCGATATTATTTGAAACAAAGTTGTCTGTATAGATATAGATATAGATATACATATACATATAGATAGATATAGATACATGTATATACATAGATTTCAAAATGATTATTCCATTCACAGCTTGTTTTGAAAACGCCAATTTCGTGCAAGCGTTTTTCATCATGTAGGTGTGAACATGTTTTGGGCATAAAATATCGTTAGTTGTAACGTCGGTTCTGTTGAATACTTTTATTACTCTTTGTAATAGCATATCATGAAACCGGTACAAACATTTTCTGAGCAATACATGTAAAGAAACAAAGAATCAGATGAACGAACCCGAGTTTGTGACGTGACGTGGAGACACATGTTTACACACCTGGAAACACTATCAAGGTGTAAAAAGTCGTGCACTCACCATGACATCGGTCATAAACATTGACTAGCCTTCTCGCGTGTATATGACGGATGACACCGCCTGGCCAGGATCCGCTTCCTTTAAATAAACTCCAGGCGTCATCACAGCAGTCGAGTCTTCTATCAGCAGTGACTTCTTTTTGGTGTTGAAAGGGTTTTAGTTATTTATATGTTCACCTTCAGCAGAGGGAGATTGGTAATCAGCTAGTATATGGAGGACGCGGTCTGGGAGTAGCATTGTGGTTTGCAGGAAGAGAATTAAACTATTCTGGTGGATATAGCATTCTAATAATAAGTGTATTTGTTGTGCGCTATTTTCCATCCGTTGCTCAAAGCGAAGACAATCTGATTATTATTAACCCGGGTAACCCAGGCTGCCTGTGTGGCGCTAGAAGGTTAATAGTCACATGACTTATCCCACCGGGTACCCGTTTTCTGCTGGGTGAGCAAACTCACTTCCCTAAAGTGAGACCACATCTATAGTATGACCAGAAATTATTGAGAATTTTAGAAATATGTTTAATTGGATTTGTATTATAAACAACCTTGACCAGCTATCAAGTGCTTGGTTTCATTCAAGAGAGACAACTCCGTTAATCCTTTTTCATTAGTTTGTGAAGAGTTATCCCCCTTTGTTTACTTGCTAGCAGACGACATTTTCAATGATCCTCAGTAAGGATGATTTAGAGAAGAGGAAGTTGATTTTAGAGTATTATAACAAGGTCATCAGATCAGCTAAAGTGATTTCAAGTAGAACAGGCATCCCTATGTCCACTGTTTATCGTGTTTTGAAAAATATTGCAGATGGATATAGCATTGAGCACCATTTTATATTATAAAATTGACTGTCGGTGACAGGAGGCGGCTTGGTATTGTTGTTTCTAAAAACAAACGAAGGAGTTTAGAAAACTTTAGGCTGGATATGATTGATAGAGGAACTCTGGCTGTCTGTAAGGAGACAATTAGAACTGAGCTGCATGCAACGGGTTGACAGAAAAGTCGAGGAATTCGATCACTGATCATGAAACCTGAACAAGAGCAGCGAAGGTTGAATTGGTGCTTACAGAAAGTTTAACTGGGACAATGTGATTTTCTCAGATGAAAGTTCTGTGTGGCTGTTTCTTAATACACTGAAATTCTGGACCAAACAAACAGAAAAACCTTTGTATCAGCGCCCAAAGTACAGTCCGAAATTTAACGTGTGGGGTGGCATATATACGTGTTAAGGCAACGCCCCTCTGTGTATTTGAAGGAAATATGAACAGTGAGCGGTACACAGATATTCTCTAGGGACATTTACCTCCATCTACTCAGGTGTTCTATGGAAATGTTTGGATTTTCCAGCAGGACAACGACCCAATACATCGTTCAAAGCATTCACAGGCCTGGTTTCGGACCCAAAATATGACATTATTAGATTGGCCAAGCTATAGCCCTGACCTAAATCCAAATAGAAAATGTTTGGGGACTTGTGAAGGAAAGTGTCAATAAGAAAAATCTGACAAATAGTGCTGAAATGAAAGAAGAGGTGGTCCGATATTGGGACAGCATGGACCACGACTTTCTAACTTCCTTGATCAGTAGTATGCCCCGCCGCATTGAAGCCTGCATTGCTGCCCATGGTGACTTGACAAAATACTAACTGTTCACCTGTATTTGAATCTGGAGTTATGTTCTGCTAACATTCATATTTAATACGTGAGTAATGAGTGAAAAAAATATAAAAATTACAATCTCTTAATTCTCAATAATTTCTGGTTGTACTGTATCACGTTTACCTCATTGTGGGGCAGGACTGAAGTCTCTCAGAAACCAAGCTGCCAAACACGGTCACTCTCCGCGCCTAACGTTGCTTAACTTCAACTGATTTGTGCCCTGAGCTCTTTACACAGGACTACACACCACCACGATGTTTACAACTTCAGGAAGTGAAGGATACTGATGTAAAACCAGCGCCAATATTTAGCTGAAATATTGCCGTTTGAGTCGTTAAACAACACACAAATAGTGCTGGTATTGGCATGCAACCTGCGATACGATATATCACGATACTAAAACCTTTAATTCTAAAACACCTTAATATCAAAACAAAAACAATGTTTATATGATAGAAACTTTAATTTGAAAAAAGTTACATTAGGCACTTTTTTAAAAAAACAAGTACATAAATAAAACATAATACTGTTATTTACCAAAATACATAGATCAAAAACATCTTTAATATCTGCATGTTGCTGGATGCTGTCACTGCAGTCACATAATAGAAAGAAATTTGTGCTGATTTAAAAAACGGCACATATTGACAGATATCGCGACTCGGCAATATTCAAAGTTAAACATCGATGTATCGTGTCCCATTTGATTTATCGTATCGAGATATACAACAATGTGAAAGTTTGTATAGATTCACTGTATCGGCGGCCCATGCATCGATGCGTATCGATGAATCGTCACACCACTACACACAAACAAACAGACTGATGTCAAACCGCACAATGAATGTCAGATAAAAGTGATGTTTGCCCTTGTATACATTACGATCATGTTACGACTTCCTGTTCATTCTCACAGTTGTGACATCTTTTTTCCCACAGATGAAAGCGTTTATTGGATTGCTTACTTGCCTGCTGATGGCTTCCCGTAGAGGTAATGTTCTCACATAGCTAAATCATTACTTGTTGGCTTGTACGATGGATTAAAGCACTGACGTGTCTGTGTTACATTTCATCTGATATCCACTTTACAATGCCTTGAAAGACTTAAAGATCAATTTGTCCAAACTTGGTCTTTTTTTGGATCCGTATTTTAGTAAGCACCCTTTAAGCCAGTGGTATTCAGTTTCGGACATTACGTCACAGATTACCAGGTGAACTGGGCAGATGGAGTAATTATATAATAAACCTTTAATGGAACGAACCTGTAACCTATGTCAGAGTCACTTCGTTGGTGATGAATACCATGTGCTTTTGTTTTGCGATTACTTTAGCGAATATAGAAAACTGTTGTCACCATACTTTTTTCCATCCAAGCGATATAAAACCTGTTACTCTAATTAAACTAGGAACAAATGTGTACTTAGAAAGTTAAGTAAACTGTTCTCTCTTTATGCTAAGTATGAGTCCTCTAGATAAGCAAATACTCCCATCTACCCGTACACAATATTCTTGATTTAGTATTTACATACAGCCAATTGTCCTACCACCATGCATGTATTTTAAATAATATTGTTCGTTGACCTTCATATGCCACGGATAGTGGCCTGAAAGTAATAAATGTTCTCTTCTGTTCAGCCTTCCCTTCCAACTAAAACCTGACCACCCGATCCCGAAAGTCGCCTGATTCACTTCAGACTTTCCTGTCAAATTAAGTCGACACATTCTGATAAAGGAACACTGTCAAAATATTTGCGCTTACTCACTATTTACATGACATAAATTATCTATGACTTCACCATTATGTTTCAGGAGGCAAGTGTCAGACTTTGACGGGCAAGACGTTTCTGCTGTTCACTGACACAAGGACATGGAGTGACGCGTGGAGTTTGTGCAACAGTCAAGGCTACCGCCTGCTGCATGTTGATAACCCAACGACATTGAAGGCTCTGGCTGCGTTGGTTAACTCTTCTTCAGTCACTGACAAGGTGTAGGTATTCTTAAGTTCATTTCCATTAGTCAGCTGATATGCTGCAAACATTCCCTCAGTGACAACGGATGATGAATTATCGGTTCTTGATCGCAAATCTCGGTTGGGAACTTCTCTCAGACATAAATCAGTGAGGACCGATGGGATGTACAGATCTCAACTTTCTTCTTCTCTCAGTACATCTTTTTTAGGACCCGTGACGGTCCGGGTTAGAATATTGATCTTCAGTAACCCATGCTTGTCGTAAGAGGCGACCAACGGGACCAGGTGGTCAATCTCGCTGACTTGGTTGACACATGTCATCGGTTCCCAATTGCGCAGATCGATGCTCATGCTGTTGATCACTGGATTGTCTGGTCGAGACTCGATTATTTACAGACTGCCGCCATATAGCTGGAATATTTATGAGTGCGGCGTAAAACCTAACTCACTCATTCACTCACTCTTTTTGTGAAAGATATGTATTCCTTTATTTTAACATGAACAGTGTTCCTATGATATTCAAAATAAAATCCAGTTCCGATATTGAAGTAGAATAATTAAAATGGAAGTAAAAGATATTCTAATATGACTTCAGTAAACACTGGATTATGATTGGTTAATTAAAGCCATTCAGACGTATATAATCACTTTATATACCTCTGATTATCCAACACAATACGTATTTTTAAAAATCGTAATAACGCAGAGAATGGAGAAAAACATACTGTGTTGGAATATTAGAGATATATAACGAAATTATAATATCTCTAAATTTATTATGTAAAGCCTCACGCTATGCGTTCGGTTCAGATCAAATTTAGAGCTATTATAATTTCGTTACATACGTCTGATTTTCCAACGCAGTATGTTTGTCTCTGAACTACAGACCCGTGAAGATGCGGGTTAGAATTGGTCTTCAGCAACCCATGCCTGTCATTAGCTTAGACTAACGGGATCGGGTGATCAGGCTCGATAACTTGGTTGTTGCATGTCATCGTATCCCAATGGCAGAGACTAATGCCCATGCTCTTCATCACTATCTTGTCTGGTCTAGACTCGATAATTGAAACACTGCCTTCATATAGCTGGAATATTGCTGAGTGGGGCGTAAAACAACAACAAACTAACAATATGATATAAATCTCTTCAGCCCATTTGTGAACACATAATGAATCGATTGTACAAGAGAATGACACAGTATTGGGTTAAGGTAGGCCAACAGTTATGTATTATGCACAATACTTAGACATACATTACATTTTACGTGTATGCATTTTCATTTTTCATATTGTCCCTTGGATTTGTTTCAGAGATCCAGGACAATTTATCAAAAGTTAAAGAAACTGTTATTTGAAGTTTACCGAGAAAACAATATAATGCGAAATGCTGGACTTTCTCATTTCCTCAGTAAAGCTTTCAAGAAGGTTTATGGTAGACATGTGGAGGAAATTTCTAAATTTGATGCATCAGCGACAAAAATTATGTCCGATGCAATTCCCTATTTTGACTTATACCATACGTTCCCGAAATATTTCAGGTGAACCATTGACTAGACTTAGCGTATGTTTATGACGGGTGTCACCGGTGGGGCAGGATACGCTCACCTTTTGGCGAACACTTGGTATCATCACTATCTCATAGTGATTCATAAACACATACTCTGTCATCGTATAGCATGGTGATAATGACTGGATTGTCTGGTTCAGACCCGATTTGTTTACAAACTGCATTGCACAGCCGTAATACTACTGAAACCAATATCTGCTCATGATATAGTCACAAATGTACAATCGACTCTGCTTTTGGCAGAGATATCTTATGAATGTGGAAAGGGTTCAGTTTCCAAATATGAGTCAGAATTAACTCAGTGTCGACACAGCCCCTAATCGGCCTATAACCACAAACTTGCGAAAACCAGAGTAATGGAGCAAGTTTGTTGAGTCTGCTTGCTATTCAAGAATGTATCTGATTATGTTCGCTGAAAGGTACTGGAAGAAATGCTGATCTCGTCTTTCAATCGATGAGTGAACATGGGTTAGATTTAACAACACTGTTTGTGGTTGTTTTTTCTGTTATGTTCTGGCGTGTGAGCTTAATGTGGGAGGAAGTCCCGAAGTAATGAAGGTCGGAGACGAGCACGGACATGGCTCTGACAAGCTTATAAACAGAATCGGGGCGAACCAGTCGTCTTTATTATATCTAAATGGTTGTTGGTAGACGGAAACATAACCAAAGTCTACATGCGATGGAGAATATCTTTTGAACGCACAGTTCATCGAAAAGACTGACTGACTGAGTTTGGTTTTACGCCGCTTTTAGCAATATTCCAGCAATATCACGGCGGGGGACACCAGAAAGGGGCTTCACTCATTGTACCCATGTGGGGATTCGAACCCGGGTCTTCGGCGTGACGAGCCAACGCTTTAACCACTAGACTACCCCACCGCCCTCATGGAAAAGAAACAGTTTGGTAAGGTACGACTGTATAACATGTACAGGAATGTTATGGAGGGTACTGATGTCAAACAAGCGAGGCCATGTAGCAGAATATTGCTGAGTGCGGCGTTAACCAGCACAAAAAACAAATTGCCGTCAAACCGCACTATGAATGCTCCAATAAAACATGTTTCCTCTCGTATACATTTCGCTGCATTTCGTCATGCTATGCCTTTCTGTTTATTCTCACAATTCTGAAATTCATGTTCTCTCTGTGGTACAATGAAATAGAAAGATTGCACGTCATATGACTTTCCATTTGTAGCAATGACAGCATATGGATTGGTTTGAGCAAGGAAGAGGACTCTCAAGATAAGTTCTATTGGGATGACTGCACTGCCTTGAATTCCTCCTTCACAAACTGGCATCGCGATGAACCAAGGGACCAAGACACAAACGCCTGTGTCTACATGGACACGGCCACCTTCATGTGGAGGGCTGACTCTTGCAACAACGACCATCAGTATCTCTGTGAGAAAGACACGGGTTAGTGGAAAATCCTTCTGAGAGCAAGTGGCAGCTGAAGACATGCTCATGGAGATGTCGGCATCGTACACTGAACCTTGCTTTTAGTCGCGAAATATTTTGATTATGGAAATGTATTTTAATGTATCAAAGAAAGTTTCGAAAGTTGTACGATTTCGACTTAATCATGAGCAAGTGTTTATGTACTTCCACCAAATAGTGATGGTAAATTTGATAGCGAAAGTCAATGACCATATCTTTCTGCTAGCTCAAAATGTATGTGTCTCGTTTAACACTTAATGGGTAATCAGTAATATATCCTTTGAAATATATGTTGTCTGTTCTTGATACAATACTTACATGAAAAATAAAAACGTATCTAATACCCACCATTCCATGTGATCGACAGTACAGGGTTCAAATTTACAAAACTTAAATCACAGCCTGCACATCTTTTGTATGACACGCTTCAGAGCCATCATGTTTGTTGCAGGTGCGTGTGTGTACACGTATGGCACTGCTACCTGTGAAGCTACGTATATATCAATTTACAGCAAGGTGGAGAAACAAGAGGACTGTGAAGAGTTGTGCAACACTGAGATGTTATATGGCAACTTTTGCTGGATCTACCTGCATTTTGTTGGCCAGTGCACTCTGTACTTTGACGAGGATCCGTTCAGATGTACAAGTTATCCTGTCCACACAGACACATATGGATTTCGAAAGTGTTTCAGCTGTAAGTTTCAAAGCTATGTCAGCAGACTAGTTACCCTTATCATCTAAAGCATGTTGGCGCTTCGATAAATTCGTTTAACATTGTTGAGAATGTTCTAGTGTACGAACAATGGAATATTTCTTGATTGATGTTGATTCAACATTTCACTCTCAAAGGGATTTGAAGTACTGTAATATTATTGACCTCCTGAGAGGGTACGTAGCTTTCACGGTAAATTCAAACCTAATAATATTTTTAAGCGTAGCATATATGTTCTTTTAAGTTATGGCTTGATTATCTAGAATTGCCAATAGCTGAAGGGAGAGTGTAAATCCAGCTGGGATCCATGCAAGAAGCAAATGTACTGTAAGTCCCCATGGTCCCTAGTATGGTGATCTACCCTCAGTTGTTGGCAATCTATAGCCTGTTTTTACATTGTCTTGTCATTTTTAGTTCAAATGTTTTAGATTTAATCACTAGCTTTAAATGAATATCCGTGATACACTAGTACTTTTACTGTTCTTCGTCAACAGGATTTTAATTTCTACATTTATTGATCTATGATATAATCATTAATTGTTCTCGTCACGATGTGGCTGAAAATTGCCGATGTGACGATAAATATTAACTCAGTCACTCGCTGATTCAACATTTCAGTTGTCACTCAGTCGTCCAGCGGAACCTCAGTAGCCTCCTCCAGAGGTCATAAATGTACGGCAGCTACAACTTCCGCCTCGACATCAGCTACGACCGCTGATACTGCTACAACCACGATATCTGTTGCCACAACCGATGATGCTACTACTACTACTATCCCTACGACAGCTACTACTACTCCCACCACTACCAATACACTTGCCACAACAACTGAAACGACTACGACCACTGCTACTGACGCAACTACTACCACATCTGCAACTACTGCTACATCTGCTTCAGCTACTGTCACCACGTCATCTGTGACAACTACCGCCACCACTGCATCTGATAAATCCACTGACCTAACTAAATCCTCATCTTCCCGACAAACAGCAACGACAGCAACCTCAGACTCTACAACTGCAAATCCAGGTTTGACAAGTCCCACGAGGGACGGTGCAACCACTTTTACTGCTACAGGTAGTTCTGCAGTGACAAATATTGGTTGGCTGAAGACTGCAGCGAATACCACATCAACTACATCGACAACATCAGCTCCATCAACAAACACAACTGTTACGATCGTTCATGCCGACACTACTACCGTAACTTCCAGATCTTCGCCATCGTTGGCATCACCCTCATTCACCTCAACAACGCCTAATGCCGTTAACAGCAACCCAACGTCGTCTTTTGAAACTCCGTCAACGTCCACGGCCATCGTAACGTCTCAAGTCTCAAAAACAGCAACGTCCTCAATACAAAGTAAGGCATATCACTACATTTATATTTGATGCCTATATCATGGGTATCGTGGGCGTTATTTGATACATCGTATGATTCAGCATCTCACAATAGGCTACGTTCACCTCCTGGCCGCAATTTCAGCTCTCGTTTTTTAATGTATTCTTTCGTTTGCCTGGCACATTTTATGTATACAAACAATTGCGAATGCAATACTTCTGACACTACCTGTGAAGATCCGGGGTAGAACTGGTCTTCAGCAATCCATGCTTGTCGTAATAAAAGAGGCGACTAACAGATCGCGTAGACCGGTGCTCATGATGTTGATCACTGGATCGTGTGATCTAGACTCGATTATTCACAGACCGCCGCCATATAGCTGGAATATTGCTGAGTGCGGCGTAAAACAACAAGCCAACAAACAAACTTCTGATACTGAAGTCTTTCACTAGAATTACCTGCATGCTAATGTATAGCATTCTCTAGAAATAAATGCGGTACAACTATTTCAATAAATGATAGAAACCTCCAGGAAAACAATTACGAAGATGAGTCGTTAGCCGAAAGCGGACGTCACAATGCGTTACGCATTAATGCGCCGCTGTATGTATGTTGATTCAACGTTTAGAAAGTGTTGTCGGAGGTTGTTATAATAGATTACTTCATCAATGCCTGTCAGATACCAGTTATCCTCCTTGTTTTGGAGGATAACCACTCCTTGTTTTGAAACAATAATAGCCAACTCTATAACGCTGAACGCCGTACAGGCAGACTCTAAGCGCATACAGCATGATGGAAATTATTACTCTGGATAATCCAAAATGCCTGTGAGGCACTAGGAAGTAAATAATTAGTGGACTTATTCCACCGGGTACCCAGTTTCTGCTGTGTGAACAGATGCAATTTTGAACAAACTCAGTTGATCAATTAAGACAACGTTTGCTTCGTTTTAGGGCAGGACAGAAGCCCTAGAACCTCTTAGGAGTCAAAGTGCCAAACACGGTCACCTATTCAATGTTGCTTAACTTCAACTGATTTGTGACCTGAAAACTATGCACAGGACCACATCACCATCACAATAAGCTTTCTCTCGCTTGTTAGATAACGTGGGACACGTAAGATAAATGGTATTTGACCGACACTCGTGTGATTTAATACTGTATGTCCCATCCAGGTAGAAACGTCTCCTGCCCCTGCATGATCTGCATCCCGGTAAAGAACATGACTTTGATCGACGACTTCGTGAAGGACATGATCGACTGGCTGAAAGTTGACCAATCAACTCTCTCATCGAAAAGGCGCATGCGTGAATCTGAACCGGATGACAGACCTTCCGCGCAAGTGATTGGCTATGGGGGGACCTTGTTCTTGGTGTTCACGTTCAGCATCGTCGTCATGGTGGACATCAGTCGGATATGTCATGTGCGAAACAAGAGGATGCCAGAAACACAGAAGAAGAAAGATCCTTAAAAGAGTCCCCTTCAAACAGGGGACGCATCAAATATGGAATTTCCCCATTTCTGTAGAAAGTTTATTAAATAGCCATTGAAACTCGGATGAAAGCCGAAACAGTTGCCGTGGCTATGGAAGTTTGAGGTCACAAGGACAGCTATAATACCTTATTAAATACCGAAATAATATCCTTCTTTGTTTCAGTTTAAACCACCAGTTTAACTTTTGTAAATACTACCTTATGTGTGTCAGTTTAAATATAAATTTTAACGTAAAAGAGCTGAGCCATTGATAAAACTTTAACAGACATGAGTTGTGAAGTATGCTTAAACTTTGGGTGTCCTCTTGCTTGCTTTTGGCGTAATGTTTTAGGTAATAATGCTGCTGTAAATAACTGAGTCTATATCTTGAGCATGTGTGTATTTATTGCCATTGAATAGCAATGAGACGAGTGATAACATGAGCGTATTCAACCCTAATGGAGGCACGTGTCACAGACACATGCAAAGACAAGTCAATTGCACACCTAAAAAGAAATGAACATAATTATGGTACAAGTCAGAATAAGGAACTGTATCGGACATAATTTTTATCAGTGAGGCCTCGTCCTCATTACTTCTGTATCATCTGTTGCGAGGTTGCAAATGCAAAATAAAAAATGTCTATAAGCATAAACTGTAGTAAATAAAAATGTTATCAGTTCTTTTTGTTGACATGATGTTTATTTTCACAAATATACAGAAGACGAAATGTGTCTGGACCAGAACTTGATTTCCATCTGAAAATATATTTTCAAGACAAGGTATCTAATATTAGTGTTTAGGTAAAATAATTTGAGAAGCAAGCTGACTGATTGTATATGGATTTAGAAAATGATTATTCTATGCACTTCTGATGAACACGCCAATTTCGTGCAATCTTTTTTCATGATGTACACGTGAACATAGCCGGGATAAATTTTACAGTGAAATTTACAGTAAAATTCACAGTAAAACATGTCAGAGTGTTGCTGTACTTGTCAGTGGTAAAAGAAAGACTGAAGGTTCTTCTGATATTGTTTTAAACTCAGTTAAAGGTGTTTTGACACGCGGCGCCTGTTACGTCAGGAACAGACAAATGATGGCACGAAATCATGAGTGCCTCTCAAGTGGAGATGAGGTTCACAGAGCAGCAGGTTTTAGAAAGAGGACAGACGATTAATCAGGAGACACTGAGGACATCGTACCCGTGTTCTCCTACGTCACATTGTTGTAAGACGTCGTTGGTGTCACCGGCGGCACAGATGGATCAATATTCGTCTGGCAAACGTTATGTGCTCGGATGAATCATGTTTACTTCTTGTGTTGAAGCATAGTAACATATTCATTGTACATGTATGTCCCCCGCCGTGGTATTGCGGGAATATTGCTAAAAGCGGCGTAAAACCATACTCTCTCACATATTTAGTTATGTGTCCACCTTATATCATCTGACAATCTTTATGTCTTTTATAAACTTGCTGTGTTCATACATATGATAGTCAGTGTACGAAAATCCCTTTGACCTGGTGACACATTGTACTGTGTTGTTACCCATGAAGATTCGGGTTAGAATTGATCTTCAGTTGACACATGTCATCGTATCCTATTTGCGTAGATCGATGCTCATGCTTTTGATCACTGGATTGTCTGGTCCAGACTCGATTATTTACAGACCGACACCATACAGCTGGAATATTGCTGAGTGAGGCGTAAACCTAAACTCACTCACTCACTCTGTGTTATCTGATGGTGCATGCCATCAAGCATGCTGTATATGTTATTTAAACATATTGTTTCATTGATTGATTGAATCATGGAACATAAGTATTTATATAACGGTGCAATATGGCCATTCACAGATGAAGCATGCATGTGAACATGTAGTGTAAACATGTGAGTCACCTCATCTTTCAGATGGGAATTTATTATGAAGACCATCAGAGACACAATGGACAAGTAAACAATGATAATGTGCACAATATGTGTGTGCTCTATATCGAATAGCTTTGATTGTTTTAATTATTTGAGTACAAACAATACCGTTGACATCTTTTGGGCAATATGAATATCAAAGCAAACTCTCTATCCACCCTAGTTGGCCATTACAAATATCCGTCCATCCAGAATGATCAAATGCGTTTTGAATTAAACATTGGTAAATCGTTATAGTGAATGTGCCAAACTTTTATAAAAGTTGGAAACTAAATTAAACTTTAAAGATGACCTCACACACTTCGTATTCCTTTATGGAAGTTGGAAACTAAATTGAATTATAGTTTTAGAGATGACTTCACACTCTTCATAGTGAAGACGAAATATGCCAAGATGTAGTTCAGTAGAAAGAAGCAGTAAGAAGCATTGTCGACGTCCATGACGTCATCAGTGCCCAGAAGGAAGATAAGACAGGCGGCCCACCACTGTAATTCAGGTATATGTCGCTGTTATTTCCTGAAAGAGAACAATGCATACTTGTATGGTACTGCAATTGCCCCAGACCAGTGATCTATGCCGGAAGACTATTTCTGGTGCCACTGGATGTCATCTTGCCGACTATACATTAATGGTGATTCAATAGGCCCAGACCCGTGTCCTGTGCTTGAAGACTATTTCTGGTCTCACTGGATGTCATCTTGCTGACTATACATTAATGGTGATTCAGTAGGCCCAGACCCGTGTTCTATGCCTGAAGACTATTTCTGGTCTCCCTGGATGCCATCTTGCTGACTATACATTAATGATGATTCAATAGGCCCAGACGCGTGTTCTATGCCTGAAGACTATTTCTGGTGCCCCTGGATGTCATCTTGCTGACTATACATTAATGGTGATTTGATAGGCCCAGACCCGTGATCTATGCCGGAAGACTATTTCTGGTCTCCCTGGATGTCATCTTGCTGACTATACATTAATGGTGATTGAATAGGCCCAGACCCGTGTCCTATGCTTGAAGACTATTTCTGGTCTCACTGGATGTTATCTTGCTGACTATAGATTAATGATGATTTAATAGGCCCAGACCCGTGATCTATGCCGGAAGACTATTTCTGGTCTCCCTGGAAGTCATCTTACTGACTATATATCAATGATGATTCAATAGGCCCAGACCCGTGTTCTATGCCGGAAGACTATTTCTGGTGCCCCTGGATGTCATCTTGCTAACTATACATTAATGATGATTCAATAGGCGCAGACCCGTGTTCTATGCCTGAAGACTATTTCTGGTGCCCCTGAATGTCATCTTGCTGACTATATACATGTATTAATGGTGATTCAATATGCCCAGACCCGTGTTCTATGAGTGAAGACTATTTCTGGTGCCCCTGGATGTCATCTTGTTGACTATACATTAATGGTGATTAAGTAGGCCCAGACCCGTGATGTATGCCTGAAGACTATTTCTGGTCTCTTTGGATGTCATCTTGCTGACTACTCATTAATGGTGATTTAATAGGCCCAGACTCGTGTTCTATGCCTGAAGACTATTTCTGGTGCCCCTGGATGTCATCTTGCTGACTATTCATTAATGGTGATTTATTAGGCCCAGACTCGTGTTCTATGCCTGAAGACTATTTCTGGTGCCCCCGGATATCATCTTGGTGACTATACATTAAAGGTGATTTAATAAGCTCAGACTCGTGTTCTATGCCTGAAGACTATTTCTGGTGCCCCTGGATGTCATCTTGCTGACTATACATTAATGGTGATTTATTAGGCCCAGACCCGTGTTCTATGCCGGAAGACTATTTCTGGTGCCCCTGGATGTCATCTTGCTGACTATACATTAATGATGATTCAATAGGCGCAGACCCGTGTTCTATGCCTGAAGACTATTTCTGGTGCCCCTGGATGTCATCTTGCCGACTATATACATGTATTAATGGTGATTCAATATGCCCAGACCCGTGTTCTATGAGTGAAGACTATTTCTGGTGCCACTGGATGTCATCTTGCTGACTATTCATTAATGGTGATTTATTAGGCCCAGACTCGTGTTCTATGCCTGAAGACTATTTCCGGTTACCCTGGATATCATCTTGCTGACTATACATTAATGGTGATTGAATAGGCCCAGACCCGTGATCTATGCATGAAGACTATTTCTGGTATCCCTGGATGTCATCTTGCTGACTATATATTAATGGTGATTCAACAGGCCCATACAATTTTGCACTCATGCGGGTAGTAATAGCACGTGTGTGTTCCCAAGCGGCAACAGCGTGGTTTCAAGTGGACTGGACCTGTGATCCCGCTAACTACACCGTTAATACATCACCATGGTTGAGCAACACACAGTAACCCAAAGTAACAGCTTCCGTCTTGTTCGTGTTTTCCATTACCTTTCAAGTCCTACATGGGGAGTCAGCTTTTGCGTTAACATGAGGGAAGTCCCCCTCAAAACTCAATAGAGGGTAACTTGATATTTCACACTATACTCCCCGACTATCCATAACTCTACACATTTCACACGGTAATCCACAATCCACTCTGCATCATTTCCACTGGATTCCTCACACTTTCCAAGGAATCGTTTCTTAATATGTTTCTATCCTTCCTTTTCGCTATTAAACATGCCAATTCTTTGCAACCGGAAAACTTTCTTTCAAAATAACATTTACCATCCATACAATTAGACGTTTATACCTGTACACGTGTAGGTAAGTAGTTTTGTGCCTTTCCACGGTACTTATAGTATCCCTACAAGTCAAATAATAGGAACCCTTATCACACATGTATCGCTCGTGAAGTTCTCCACCTTACATTCAGTATCTGTACACACCCGAGTGATACCTTTCGGCGAGAAAATGATCAGCACATATTTTTACTTCTCATTATAAGCGCAAGGGAAAATAAGGCCTCGATAAAACATCATATTACAGTCGTTTAATATTTTGTCAAAGTATTATCAGACAGTGAAGAGGACGTTTTCATGCATCAGTCATTTCCTTCAGACCAGTTTTCGCTTGGCCAGGAAACACTTACCTATCACAAAGGGAGCAC